GAACACCTCTGAGTTTTCAGATTTTCTTGGAAGGATGCTGTTAATTGGATGACTAGGTGTTATTAATATTTATAGACCATATTTCCTTCAGGGCTGTCATGATGCTACAAAATATGGTCCATTTTTATCTTACAATAATCTTGTGAGGCAGTCCTTTTCCATGTGCCAAAATACATTTCCCCATCTTTAGCTATTAGGGATTTTGACTTCAAGTAGATTGGGTGGGTGCTCCTTTTGCTTCTCTGTCTCTGGCAACAAAATATCTTGATTAGTCCTGATCCATTTTATCCTCCTACTGAAGATGGGGTTTTTGTAGGCATCCTTCAGTCTCGAGAGACTGTTCTGAGACTGAAGGATGCCTACAATTGTTATTTATTTATTCTATTTATACCCCACCCATTTAGACCAATGGTCTACAAAAACCCCATCTTCAGTATGAGGATAAAAAGGTGGGGTAGGGATGAGAGAAAATAGGCTGCCTCTGGTTACCTGATGAGGAGACTTTGGTAAACTTACTTTTCTAGAACTCTAGCTTTCAGATTTCTCCCAGTCAGAATCCCCATAGCTGGTAGGCTCTGGAAGTCTGAGTCCAAAAAAGTAGCTTTTTGAAAATTGTAAATAGTTTTACTTCAAGAGTGACATTTGAACCATTGCTTTCTGCATCACAACCCACTCTTAGCCACTACTCGCCTTTAGCTTTCTGAAATGAAATGTTTTCTTCTTTTTGACATAATAAATACCTTGGGGGTGGCGGCGGTGAAATGCTCAAACTGTCCAGTAAGAATTTGTGTTTGAACGGCTACAGAGAATGCCACTGTAAAAGTGGAAACTCCTGCAGATGTGTCCTTTCTGGACCCCGGATCTCACACTTCAAAGTTAAGGTTGCTATTCGCATTCAGTCAGAACTACCCATGAACACTGGCAAATTTTAACAATTGCAAATTACATGGAATTTCCTGAATAAGAGGTATGTTGTAATATTTTTGGAAAGTATGATTCAACATTTTCCCATTAACTTCTAAGTGCTGTATGAATCAATTGGATAAGTGCCATGAACTCTTTACTATTGATCACACATTATTAATAATATTTTATACTTATTATTCCTCAATCATGCCTTGCAGCTAGTACCTGAGCTTGGGAATGCTGTCAAACACAAGAACTAATCACTAACATAACAAAAGCACACTCTTGTATATGTTTACTCAGAATTAAGTCCCACTGATTTTAGTTGGACTTAATTGCATACATAGGACTGCAGCCTAAGCATTCCAATCAGCAATAAGCATGTCAATTTAAATTCCATTAACATCAACAAGACCTCTGTCCCATCAGTGTCTTCACCTCCTGTTGGACTACCAAGACTGAATGTGTATATAGGGATGCAGCCTAAGTATTCCAGTCACCAATAAGCACATAGCATGTAACATGTGGCTAGAAAAAGGACAGCAAGGTTAGAGGGAGAGTATCTAGAATAAATATCTCAAGTGCAACAGTTCACGTATCTGGGGCAACCTTCCCTAGTAAGGCCTGAGGTTGTGAACAAAGCACTTGCATACTGTAAAGCTACTACCTCTCTAGCTAGCCTTGCAAGCTAATGTGTCATGATGAAAGCTGTAATCCAACACATCTAGATAGCATCACATTGGAAAAGGGTGATGTGAGGATGCTGATGTAAATTCCTGGCAAGGAAAACCAGAACAATTACTCTATGCCCTGTATGCCACATTACAACCTTTGGCCCCTATATAAAGACTGTATGTTTAGGATGGTATTCTTTTTCTTCATGATAATAGATGACTGGAGGCTGAATACAGTGAAGATATATCTCAATCAGAGTGGAAAGGACTATCTGTCGTTTTGCAGGCATAAAATGGGAAGCCAATGCCCACTGCTGTGTACCTGTGGTGTTGTTGAAAGGCATTTGTCTTGATCTGTGGGGCATCTGTGCACTGCTGAGACCACCATCTATTTTTATTCAGAAGTTACATAATCATAGGCATCCTTCAGTCTCGAGAGGCTATGGTAACATGCTCTGCATCGAGAAGTGTCCTCTCCAGAGCATGAAGCCTGGGTAAAGTAGTATGGAGGATAGGCTGTTACCCAAGCAGCAAATCTCCCCTCTCCACGTTGCTGAAATGGTCCAATGGAAAGGCAAGAGCCAATACAACCAGTTCCAGCAACGTCACAGGAGTTGGCAGAACGACTGAGAAGTTACATCTCTGGTGGAGAAAATGTTATGTAGTGCAGCTAGCTCACATGACAAAATAATCTAATAAACCTCTCTTCTGATCTCTTAATCTATGGCTTACTCCATTCTGAGAATTATAAGTCTGGACCTTGAGAAATGACTCCAAGTAGTGACTCACAGCATTGCAGGGCTGTTCAGTGCTATAATGTATATCAGAACTGAATGGAACTTTACAGATAACCCACCATTAGGAGAAAACATTTCTTAATGGTTGGAAGTGTGTGATTGTCAGAGCATGAATTTTTCTCTCCTTATTGTTTGCAAAGTAGATTGCTATCTTCTGTGACTGGTCTTTGTGAGTTAAATATAGGCTTTGTATTCAAGATGGATTTTTCAGACTCAAAGTTCTGCCAGAATCATCTTGAATACTTATGTAATTTCTGTTCTAATAGCAGGTTTTCTGTAACAGATAATTTTATATTGAGGCACATCACTTGCAAAGCTGAAAAGAAAAGGTGAGATACAGACAATGGTACAACTTTCAGCACATTATTGCTGGGGTCAGAAATCATGAACTAAGAAGGAAAGATGGGAAAAGTAAAGCTTGGACACACCAGTTGATGACTTCCAGTCTCAGAGAAACCTTGCCATCTTTATATTGAGATTACAGGATTTTTCCGTGTATAAGACAATATTTTTGTCAAAAATCTTTAGACTAAAAATTGAGGGTCATCTTATACACGGAGGTAAGCTGAGGAGAGAACAAAAACAAGTGGGGGGGAGGCGTCAAAGCGATCCTGCCGTGCTTTGATCGCTGCTTTCCCCCTCCACTTGCTAAGCCCCATGGGACTTAGCAAAAGAAGGGGGAAAGCAGCGATTAAAGGCCTGCAGGATCACTTTGAGCACTGTTACCCCACCACTTCCTAAGCCCAGTGGGGCTTAGCAAAAGGAAGCAATGGGGAAAGCAGACATCAAATCTTCTAATTTGGGGTTAGAAAAGTGGAGGTTGTCTTATATATTGGGGCATCTTATACACAAAAATATGGTAGCCCTATCGACTAAAAATTGAGGGTCGTCTTATACATGGAGCTAAACTGAGGAGAGAACAAAAACAAGTGGAGAGGGGGCGTCAAAGTGATCCTAGCGCTTTGATCGCTGCTTTCCCCCTCCACTTGCTAAGCCCCATGGGACTTAGCAAAAGAAGGGGGAAAGCAGCGATTAAAGGCCTGCAGGATCACTTTGAGCACTGTTACCCCACCACTTCCTAAGCCCAGTGGGGCTTAGCAAAAGGAAGCAATGGGGAAAGCAGACATCAAATCTTCTAATTTGGGGTTAGAAAAGTGGAGGTTGTCTTATATATTGGGGCATCTTATACACAAAAATATGGTAGCCCTATCTTTTATGATATCCGGCAGAATTAAGCCCCGTGGGGCTTAGCAAAAGGAAGCAGTGGGGAAAGCAGACATCAAATTTTCTAATTTGGGGTTAGAAAAGTGGAGGTTGTCTTATATATTGGGGCATCTTATACACAAAAATATGGTAGCCCTATCTTTTATGATATCCGGCAGAATTTGGAAAAATTACTTTCTGGACAACAATTTCCAGGATTCCCCAGTCCCAAAGAGTCATATACCAAAGCTCTGCTGCCCAACCTGGTGGGGATCTGAGGGAACTGGCAGTGTCTCTGCAAAGCTCATGCGACTATAATCAGTCAGCTAGTCTGAAAAGTGTCACACAACCCTTTGTAATTTTGGGAAGGAGAAGAAATAGCAGTGCTATTGAGGGGCTCAAGGTTAACAGAGCAGCTCAGGAGGCACTTGGCCGAGTGATAGGAAAGGCTGGTGACCTATAGCGGAGTCGGCATTATTTTCACATTCTCAGCCAAAGGTCAGTGTTGTGAAACTTTAAAAGTTAGAGATTGAGGCAGTAGAGATTTCCTTTCTTGTTGGAAGGCAAGGGCTTATATATGCTAGGTGTGGTCATACCTGGACCCTGAAGCCTTCATTGCTGTGTTTGATAAGAGAATGGTAACTTCTCTAGATAGCTTTGCTATTCCCTCTCCTTCCCAAATTACGAAGGGCCACCTTTCAGACAGACTAATAACAGCAGCACAAGCTTACACACACACACACACACACACACACACACACACACCACACACACACACACACACACTTTGCTAGGCAGCAAAGCTCTTTTCTGGGAATAATTGTACTTCTCCATCACACAAGTTCCTATGGAAGGAATTGCAGAGCTTCTGAGCTAGCACAATTATTACACATTGCTTGGGGCAAACAGGGAAATGGTATAGAGTTTGCTGACAGGAATGAAGTGGCTGGTCTGAAGAGAAACCATCGATGGGGGCTGATGTTAACACAAATGTTGTCATTAGAACTGTGCTAGTTTACTGTAAGGCTGAACATGGTTCCTTGCATTTTGAAACCCGCTGATATATTTTTTCATCTCTGTTTCTGACATTTTCACCTATCTCAACTTTGCACTCCCAACTGAGCCCCCCCCCCCCGCTTGTAGCCTCTGCAATTTGCCACACAAGAGCCTATTGGAAAACTTCCTGTGCAAGCATGGGAGCCATAAAAGGCTTATTCTGGCTCTTCTAATCCAGTGCGTAGCTGTAGACACACACACACACACACACTTCTCTAGCTGACTCTAGTCTAGGCATTGAGAAAATACAGGTCACCCCAGCAGATGGGGATTCCTCCGTATGCGATTGTATTTCAGCTTCTGTAATGAAAAGTGAATATTATATGTGTTGGATTTATGCAGCTGGGCAATTCCTTTCCTTTAGTCGTCCTTTAACAACATACTGCCTGCATCTCTTTGGAGCTTAATTTCCATGCACAAAGGACTGCATTCTCCCAGGAACTGAAGTCACAGATGTACGTGAGTAACTTATATAAAAATGGATTTGGAGAGGAGGGGTGCATGTATATGGAGGGAATGAGAGAGGGAGAAAAATTCCAGATTTGCAGTATGTAGGCATTTGGAGTTTGTTCACCTAAACTTGCCTTTCTGCCCCAAATAAAACAGTCCCGTTTTGTCAAAAACATAGCTACCTTTTCAAATTGGAAATACAAAGCCATCTTGAAGTCTTCATTGGTAGCCAAACAAAAAACTGCATGCTTCTTAGAGGTCATTAGGTTACTACATGTGTCTTTATGCTTTGCTTGGAGAGTAGTTTTTGTCAGAACACAGCTTTGAGATGCCGTCTGATGCTAAACATAATTGCGGGAGAAAAGAAGGCTGTGGGTCAGATTGTCAAGTTATTCTTTTGACAGTGTCAAAGCTTAAGGTCATGCTGCACTATAAATGGTCAGATGTATGGCTGCTTGCTCAGAAACCCCTTGCTAGGTGCATGGGGCTGTGTATCACGTTTCTGGATTATGAAGTCAGCAGTAAGGATTTCATTTTAAAAAGAAAATATATTTCTGCATAATATTGCTTATTATTATTGCTCACCTAATGAAGTGAGGCAGTGCTTCCAATACGAAGAGAGAACAGCAATAATGCTTACTCTGTGCTAGGAGCCTTCTAAATGCCAAAGAATGAGATGTACAGTAATATCCTGACAGATGCTTTACGAACATTATGTCTGGATGATAAGGAAAGTCAGTTTTGTATACCCCTCACAAAGTGCAGCAGAAAACATCTGTGGTGTTAAGAAAGTAGAAGAAAGAGATAGAAATGGGAGGGGGGACTCAGGAAAAGGTTTTGTTTTACTGCAAAACATATTTTTGCCTCACTGTGCGAATTGCATTTCCAAGGATTATCAGACAAATCCTTGAAGGACCTTAACAATCCGTTAAATCTCATCCTGTTCTCAAAGGCCATCCAAAAAACCAAAACAGGAAGAGATGATTTCTAGCCATGGCAACAGTCCTTGGTTAGACTTGATGCTTGGCAGCATAAATCATGAGTGAGTTATCTGGTTCCTTATGTTCTTGAAAACCAGCTGCAGAAGAAGAGACATTAGTTTCTAAACTGAGTCAGAGTGTTTGTCCATCTGTACCATGCCTGGCTGTTCTGATTGTCAAGCAGTGGCTCTTGATAGGGCTCAGGAAGTGGTCTCCTTTATATCGTTTTAACAGAGGGACCACAGATATAACTTGAATTAGAGATGGGGATGAATATAAAAACGGATTAGGTTTTCTGACGAATATAACCAATTAATCATATATTCGTCGATCTGTATTTCTAAAATTTTAAATCAGGATGAATATGACTTGACAAATATTTCCTTGGTTTTATTCGTTGATCCATTTATATTTGTCTATATTCGTTACCCCTTTTGGGGGCCTCTCTGAGCTTGCTGGCGCCAATTTGAAGTTCTGGCCAATCAGGACAGAGATCCTGGATTGGCATGTTCGGCAGCCAATAGCACTGCTGAAAGGTGTATCTACTTTAACAGACGCTTCATATAAGCTTTTCCCGTCCTGCCATTCCCCACTTCTGTTCGTGCTCTCTGGAGTGAGAACAGTTGCTGCTCACTGGCTTGCTGGTGCTCTTGCGGTTTCGCTTTTGCGGCAGCAAAGCAAAGACTTATATTTTTGTATTCGCAAAGGCTTTCATGGCCGGGATCTAATGGTTGTTGTGGGTTTTTCGGGCTCTTTGGCCATGTTCTGAAGGTTGTTCTTCCTAACGATTTGCCAGTCTCTGTGGCCTCTGAAGATTC